CGTCCACCCTTGGACTCTCACGGCCAGCCTTTCGAACTCCATCTGGTATTCCTTTACTGATCCCACCTGCCGCAGCTTTGCCAAATTTTCATCAAGATCTTCGAAACCATATGATCCAAAACGGACAGTCATGGCGTCCGTGAAGTCTGCCCAGGTTTGACGAGGGTGCCCCCTTCAGTACCATTGAAACCAAATGATGGCTTCCCCTTCAAGATGCACAGAAGCCAGAGCTACCCTATCTTGCTCCGGTGTTTCATGGTAATCGAAATACCTTTCGGCTTTGAGAATCCAGGGAGTTGGGTTGCCGCCTAAGAAGATGGGGAAGTCGATTTTGGCTATTCTTGTTGCCGCCCCTGTTCTGCGGTTGTTTTCATTGCTGCGCTCTTCTTGGCTTCCTCTGTCAATGTTCGTTGCCCCCTGCTCCAGTCGAAGGAGGAGAGCAGTGAAGCCTTCCTTCATTTCTTTGAGATCTGAAGACATTCGATGGATCTTGACCTCCATCTAATCCACTCGGGTGTCTACTAACGTGTTTCTTGTGTTGGTCATGCTAGCTCTGATACCAAATTGTTAGGAACCTGCCTAACTCAGGGCTCTTCGAGGGGCCAACCTCCTGAATTCTTGGAAGGAGAGAAAGAGAGAGAGAGAGAGAGAGAGAGAGAGAGGGAGAGTTTAATGCTGAAAGAGTCAATGTCCTATTCTTTTCTGCTCTACTACTTATAGTGTTACAATCTTGATTGTTACAGTTGTTACAAGTGGATGGCAGTTGTTACAAGTGGATGGTTAGTTGTGCTGATGTGGCCTCCTCTTGTAAAATTGATTAACTGCCTTTTGTTGGTCTATTCCAACAGTCTTGACACAAATAGAATTTGTCTTGCCCGGGGTGTTTGTATGGTGCCATCAGTACTATATCTCTTGGTTCTTTCATGCAAATACATACAGACAGATATCAGCTACAACCTCAATAAGATCCAAGATCACAATAAAGCAAATTCTTTGTTTTCTGTTTTGCAACTCAACTATAACTCTATTGAATTCCCAACAGAAACCCATCATCACTTCTTAATTCCCTACACTAAAGAAAAGTCTCCAACTTGATCAATTCAAGCCTAGGATACTTTGGAAGAGCAATAAACCAAGACCCAAGGCTTCTATTTAAAGAGGAGCACCAGCATGGTAGATTCAAGCAGAGGCAAGCAAAACCTTTGCAATGTTTTTTGGCCATTTTATTAGAAACAAAAAGGAGATATTTGTTGGAAATTTGAAAATTGAAATCAAGTGTTACAACAGTCATCAAGGCTAATACAGCCATCATTCCTAAGTTACATAGGCTAAAGAGCAGCTTCCCGTCCCTATTTCCATTCTTCCTTTTTTTATGAAAATTATCAAAAAGACACAATAGTAGTCTTGCCAATGATAAGAAACAAATGCAATTTAGTTACAGCAATCAAAATTCAAAAGCTTTCTTTTATCAATGACGATAATACTAATAATAATGACGGATAAAATAGCAATTAAACAAGACATTTCTTAACCAAATAAGAGGGCATTCTTCTATAAGCACAATTATAAAAAAGCAAGTCCTTGCAGAGGAACTAAAACCTAAAGAGAGGTGAAGACCCATCAAAGGAACTTACTCTGTAAATAACAGCTGCAAGATTTCTCGCTATTGTATCCTTGTAGATATATTTTCCAAGAAAGTTATCTTTAGCTGCAACCATGATTTTTGCAGTTGTCCCACCAGTTATAAGACTCAGCGGGTACCAAAGATAAACCTGCAGAATGCTAAGTGTTTTATAAGGCCATCAAGGGAGTCAATCTATTAGTATGGGTACAGTTGCATCAATCAATACGTGAAGCCACCATAAGAAACCAAAAACAAATTTACAAGATCCATAAAAAAACCACAAGCGCCCATATGCATGATGCATGATAATCCATCAAGAGGAATCAATTAAATAGATATTTCTTTTACGGTTTTACCTCGGAATGAAGAAAACAATAATAATAACAACTAAATTTAACCATTTCCAAGAGAAGAAATTGGAATCACATCCCAAATAATTAATAACAATATATACCAAAAACCAGAAATCAAGAGCAACAAATGCTTGAGAAGTTTCGAATGGGGAAAAAGGAAAAATAACTAACGTTGGCCATGCGAATGAAGATAACAAATTTGGGGTTGCCATCGTCTTCGATTTTGGGCAAGGAAGGAGGGGGAGGTCGTTGGAACTGACGAGCTAGCATTCCTTTCTTCCCCTTTGCTTGAACAACTAAAACGCGCTGTCTATGCTGTTGTTTTCTACCAGTCCCAGTTGAGAATAGAGAATGTTTGACGAGCAGATCTTCATGGCTCCTCGAATTTGACAAGGGAAGACGAACCAGTGCGTTTAGAGACATACCCACTTCTATCAATGCTAGAAGAATTGCAAACTCCTCACTCTATGTTTGTGGGATTTCTGGGTGAGTGAGTGGTGTCGTTGTATGCTTTTTCCAAGGCGAATATGGAGACAGATCATCAAAAAATTCTCAGGCTCTCTGCCCCGTCCTTTCTTTCTCTTATCCATATTACCGCTGCTGACATGGCGCACAACCAGCCATGCAAAATCTCACATGCACGGGGACCCACGTGATCCTGTCCATATCTCTATTTCTATCCATTGATTGAACATCATCTCAGTAATATGTTGAGGCTACAAGCCTGCAACGTGTCATGCTGGGTATTCCAACGTTGGTCGAAGCAGCCCAGTCCAGAGTCCAGACACTTGATTTTGGGCCAGGCTTAGGCCCGATTCCTAGCTCCTTGTAATTTTCAAACCATGTAAAATCAATTTTAGACTTTTTTTGTGTGCCAAATCAATTTTTGGAATTTGGACTTGGCATTAATTCAAATAATTTAAGTGGAAAAATGAAGTGTTTTAAAAGTGAGCCCCGATCTTCTACAGTCCTATTTATGAACTATTCCCACATCGCTTCCAACGAACTGTTTTCAATTGTTCCGAAAATCGTTCGATTCGGTTCTGGGTCTAAAAATTATAAATATTATTGGATTTGGTTTGGCTTAGTCTTTAATATTTTATGTCAAATCGTTTTCGATTTTAGTTGATATCGACTCAGACCCAACTCGTTGATAACTCTAGTTTATTGCTTATTAGATTCTAAAATCACCCAAACATGAGCCCGAATGGGTGTTTGATAAAAATAAAATAAAATAATATTGTATTTGACATTCCTTGTTTGAAGGACTTTTTTTTTTTACAGTTAAAATGCCCCTACAAACAGTAAGTTTTTAACAGAAAAAATGAGATAAGAATGCCAAATGCAACAGAAATCGGAGGAGAAGAGCTTTATTTGCAAAGATAAGCAAGAAAGTGGATCTAATAGGCGTGCTCTTTTGTTAGCTCACGATGGAGAGGAAAGGCCATGAAGTTTTCTAAGTTGCATATATAGGAGAGCTTTGATAGTAATAATAAACAGGTGGACAATTGTTATTGGGCCTATCTCAAATGCTACAACAAAGAGATCTAAGCAGTTCTGAACTCTATTATTGTGTGCCATTATTGAATTTGTTGTGCTAGTTTTGCTGCACTTATCCTGAACTTCCATTGTCATATTATATGAGCATTCTCATATGAATGGTATAGGTATTTAAACAAAGTCTGGAAGAGCTGCACTTTGATGGATGTATTGGGGGGTTGGGGGCTATTTTAACCAATATCAATAACACCCCACAGCACACACAGCCATCAAGTGTATATGCCCCGCAACCACTCAATCTCTTACTTGACATGATGGTTGAGGTGGGTGAACAAATGGATAGGTTCTACCAGGAATCGAGTGGAAGCAATTTCAAACTAACCTTGAACTGACCCTACCCAATTTGTTATAGATAGGATCTGGTTCCAAATTTTTGGTATTGATCCTCACCTATTTTGTTCTAGGGTATAGGGGTTTACCCTACCCAAAACTGAATCAATGAACTGGCCTTGATCGGGCTTGGTGGAACCAGCCTTTGAACCAAATTTGTCAGAAATAAACCCCAAAATACTTTTGAGGACATGGAAATTAAACCCAAGTGCTCATGGTTACAAAAGGCCATGGTCTCACTTGACCATTGAGTTACTTAAGTGATTTAATCATTTGTTTTTATTATTTTAATATTTTAATGTATATAATAAATAATATAAAAGGTAATATTTGAAAATTTTAAATTAGAATGATAAGTTTTGAATCATATATTAATACATGATAATCTACATATTGAATTACTCAATTTAAAAAATAAAGATAATATAAGTTTTAAACTATATATTATATATATTTATTGAAAACCAAGTTTTTAAAGAACATGCTTCATTTTTTTTTCTTCTTTTATTTTTTGAAGGGGGAGAGTAAACAAAGAACATATTCCACCGGTAGACCCTGGAATTGACCCTAGAACTGTCAAGACCAGAACCGACTTTCATAAGATAGGCTTCCATTCCAATAGCCTAGAACTGACCCCTATAAAGTAGGTTTTAGATTCTGCCATAGAACCAAACTGAACGAATGTATGTTTTTTTTTTTTTATTCGTGAAAAACAGTCTCCCAACACAGCCATCTACTAGTGCAGTTCTGGTCTCACTTAAAATACATGTAATGACTTAGTATGTTTTTGGTTCCATTTACGTTTATTGAGTAAACGGTGTCACATAGGCACCCCATCAGCAAAGTCCTCATTAATTGCATTCGTACGTAATCAGTTTTTGCATGGGAGAAGCTTCATTTTGGAACTTCCTGAAACGGGTAATCATTTAATTGGCACTTTGCTGATGTGGTGCCTAATGACACTTGTGTGTCATAAACACCCTCACTTCAAGCTTCAAGTGTGGCCATCCCAAAATTTTATTCCATTTTATTTTCTCTCTCCACACTTTTGTAACTCTAAGTAATCCTATGCATAAAATCTAAATAATTGAAAAAAAAATATTATTATTATTATAATAAATAAGCAGAGTTGATTCTAGTTCACGCCACAAAACTCTTCTTTTTATTTGTTAGTGCTGAAAAGACGAAATATACACACAGAAAGACAATAATAGAAAGTAGGAACAAAACGTAACGCAAGAATCAATTCGATGAATACTTCCTGGCGATGAGCAAGGGATATGCCTCGATAATCAAAGACAGGGTCTCCCTAAATCAATCCTCTTATAAATCCATTGCATGTTCTGTACTTCTCCCCCCTGTAAAAGTAGTGCAAAAGCAGGGATTGAGTAGTCGAATCCATGTTTTATCTAACTGCTTTAAGCTAGACTTTAACTCGTAAAGTCAATATGAGATGAGAGTGATCAGAGCGGAAAACTAGATGGACCAAGCAAAGTTAGATCCTTCTTCTAAAAGCGAAGTGGATTATTAGCTCGGATAAGTTGCAACTGAAGACTAAAGACTGAAGACTGAAGAGGAAGAGAATAATCTCTTTATTGATGAAAGCAACCACTTTATCTTTTTTCCAAGATCATAGCCATACGTAATCAGAATTCTCCCTTCTTTCTTCTGTTCTTTTTTTCCAATGACGAAAGAAGCTTTACAAGTGTCAAGGCAAGTATATGGAGCCAATGGCATCGGATCCACTCATCATCTATTCATCTGTATTTAGTCGGATTGATTGATTAAATGAATCAATTCGGTCCGGGTCATTTGACCCGACCGGTATATGAAGGTGCACCGAAATCTAACCACCACCACAACTAAACCCACACGACCGGTTTAAGTTGCAGGTAGCCGTCTCTTCCTCTACCGTCCTCCTTAACTATTATTCTCTCCAGAGTCCAGAACTGTCAGTATCATCGACCCTGCTTTATACTCACCCTCTCCTTTCACTTGGGCGCAGGCGCTTTGTTTTTGTTTTTTCCCTGCTAGAAGAGGAAACCCCATGAATTTGCTGCAGAGGGAGGAGTTTATGCAACTCTGCGTCTCTCGACGATCGCTACTGTAAAACAGAAATGAAGGACCGCCGGAAACGAGAGGTGGTGCCATGGAGCACGTCCTTCTGGTGCGCTCTCTTCATGGTTTTGTCCTGCGTGCTCTTCACAGGCCTCACCTTCTCTACTTTTCGTCGCTTCGGAGGTAAATTGCTCTGTTTTTCTTGTGGGGATTTTCGTCTATTCAAATAATTCGCTACTTCAATTTAAATCTTCTTTTTTTAGTGATTTCTTTCTTCCAATCTATGAACTATTTTAATGGTTTCTTTTCCAAATACGGAGGTCCCATAGATACGGTTTGTTCTGTATTTCTATTATCATGTGATGGGTTCCTGATGAATCTTCTGCTTTCTGTTTATCTTAAACAATTTTATTTTTCCTCTGAATAACAATCACTGGCTTCTGACTTGCGTGTTTTAATTGCAACAGAGTCGTTCCATCCAGTTCTGATTTCCGCCTGGCAGAATCCGGCCATGGAAGCCATCTCCGGAGACTCTTCCCTCCCTCCCGCTATCGAGATTAAAGAAACGGTCTTCTTCCCAGATCAAATCCTAATTTTCCTAAAGTACCCTCCATCTTCGGCTTCCTTATTAACTAAAGAGGACCTTGACTGTGTTTACACCCCGCCAAATTCCTCTCATCCCCTCCGGAAGCTTCCGCCGCTCCGGTTAGACCGCCAGCGTCCCGATTACGAAATCGTACGGTGCCCCTTTGAACAGCGTGGCTTTACCGTTTCTCTTGCCTTAAAATCCAACGGTGGCCATCTTCCTGCAGGTTCCGTCCACCGCTGGGATTCCCTGGTATACGAAGCGTTGCTCGATCGAGACAACACCACCATCGTCTTCGTTAAAGGTTTAAACTTGCGGCCCAATAGGCTCTCCGATCCCTCGAGATTCGAGTGCGTGTACGATGGGGATTTCAACAGTACGAAGCACCTATTGAGGTCGGACGTTATATCCGTTGCTCAGGAAATCGTACGGTGTAAGACCCCTCTCATTGTAATGAACGGCCCACATAACCCTAATAACTCTATGAAGGTCTCCATTCGGGTCAAAGGCGGGCGCATCTTAAACTCGGTGGCCCATCCGGAAGCGGTCGAACCGGATGCAGGAAAGTATGAGATGTGTGTGTGCACCATGTTGCGCAACCAAGCGAGATTCCTGCAAGAGTGGGTCATGTACCATGGCCGGATCGGCGTTCAACGTTGGTTCATTTACGACAACAACAGCGATGATGACATCCACAGGATGATCGAGATGTTGAAAGGCTCCGGTTACAACATGACCCGGCATGCATGGCCGTGGATCAAGACCCAGGAAGCGGGTTTTTCGCATTGTGCAATGCGGGCACGGGAGTCGTGCAAGTGGGTCGGGTTCATTGACGTGGACGAGTTCTTATACATGCCGTCCGGCCTGTATTTGCACGATGTTGTGAGGAACCAATCCGGGTCTTACTACTCGGACCATGGCCAGGTTGGGGAGATACGGATCTCATGTCATAGCTTCGGTCCATCGGGGCTGAAACGTGTTCCTGAGAAAGGGGTTACCGTCGGGTATACGTGTCGGATGGGTACCCCGGAGCGGCACAAGAGTATAGTGAGGCCGGAAGCGTTGAATTCAACGCTGATAAATGTGGTGCACCATTTTCATCTGAGGGAAGGGTTCAAGTACGTGGACGTGGAGAGAGGAGTGATGGTGATTAATCACTACAAGTATCAAGTGTGGGAGGTGTTCAAGGAGAAGTTCTATAGGAGGGTTGCCACCTACGTAGCTGATTGGCGTGTCAAGGAGAATGTGGGGTCCAAAGATCGGACACCGGGTTTGGGTACAAAGGCGGTTGAGCCCCGGGATTGGTCGAATCGATTTTGTCAGGTGATGGACACTGGGCTGAGGGATTGGGTGTTACGGGTCATGGCCGACCCTCACACTGGCATTCTCCCCTGGCAGGAACAAAATGATAGATCGTTGATTGAAGAAAGTAAAGACGGCAGATGATAGATAACTAATAAGAGGAAACAGAGAGATAGCTCGCGTTGTTTTTTTAGAGAGAGAGATATATATACATACATAGTTTGATTCATTCTTTTGTTTTTTTATATCAAGAAGCATACAGTCTGTCGACCATTTTTTCTAGTTCTTCTTCTCTCTAATAATCTTTCCAATAAGTCATGCTTTGATTTCAAGTTTCAAGCATAAATAGGAAAGAATTAGAGGAAACCCCAAAATTCAATGGGGTGGCACTCGAAGTAACCAAAAGTCAACAAAATGAAGATAATGTCAAATTGCAAATAATTTCATTCCATTCGACTCTTGTCGTCTTTCCTTTTGGTTGGACGATTCACGATTGTTGCTGTCAATTCTCCAAATCAAGACACCTAATCCTCACCTCAGCTACATGAATCCTAACTCACCATTCGGTTGTATTTAGTGTTATGTCTATTGTCAAGTTATGAATGCGTAGGCCACAACTATCAGAAATATAGTGGCGCATACGTTAAAGGAATATTTGATAACTGTTAAAAATGGGTATTAATTTTTTTAAGGGTGGGTGAGGGTATTTTAAGGGACAGGTGTCAAAAAAATTTTCAAGTATTCATTAAATGTGCTTATCTCATCCAAATCCGTTAATCACTGTATAGGAGTTATTTGTAATATTAAGCCATCCTAGCTCCCATTTTTTAAGTAACCCCTTAAAAAGTAAAAACTGTTATAAGAGGATAAACCTTGATAATGAAATTGGCCTCATCCTCATGAGGCATTAATTCAAAAAGGATAAACTAGACGACATTATAGAGTAGAGAACAAGACAGTGAAACAAGATTTATGTAGCTAATTCATATAATTGTTTACTTATCAATGCCTCGAACTTTGGAGGTTGTGTCAAGTCAGTCCCCCAAACTTCCTGACAATACCTTCACATGATATCAGGTGTGCATTAAATAATTTTAAAATGGAAAAGTTACCTTTTATGGTATTTTTTTTACCATCTTACCCATTTCGTTTGAGTGTTAAGGTCTGTTATAGGACCAAACACGTTGGGATTGCACATGAGATGATGGCCATCCAGACCTTATTAATCACTGATGAGCTTTTCAGAAGTCGTAACGTGGACACGAGGAAGAAATATGAGAACTTGGTAATCTCATCCACAGAATAACTCACTGAGTTTGTAGGACTTGGTGCATTTTTGTGCTTCCCATTGTCAGATATGGATGAAATAGGAATCTAATACTTGGATGTGCAAAAGAAGACTCAAGACTCCAGAAACTCAACACTAACGAATGCGACGATTCTCCACCACAGTCACTGCATCTGAAGTGCTACCATTTCACGTTGCTCAACTCTTGAATTGGTTTATGTGGAAGTGGCAAATAAAGAAAATTAAATGACACCTGATGGGTATTTCTATTAATGTCTATTAACGGATAGGGACCTATTAGGCACAATTTGAAAGTTCAAAGTACTACAGAGACATGTTTTGAAATTTGAAGTTCGGGGACTGACTTGACTAGGGGTGTAAATGGATCGAATTCGAATCGGATCAGGCAACATCCGAATTCAGATCCGGTTAAAAAATTTGATATCCGAATTCGATTCGATGTTTGATGGATATCAAAAATTAATATTTGAATTCGAATCTGATTAAATATTCGATTATTCAATTTGATTTGAATTCGACTAATTAATTATTTTAGGTAATTAATAAATATATAAAATAAATATTTTATTTATATAAAGTATATAAATATATAAATTATTTATATAATTTAATTATTATATATAAACATTTAAAAATTTTATATATTATATATAAAAATTAAATAATCGATCGAATTCGGATATTTATCAAATCGAATCAGGTCATATCCGAATTCGATTCGATTGTGTCGAATCTCGAATTCAAAATCAGATTTTCAAATACCATTTCGAATACCGTTGACACCCCTAGACTTGACACAACCTTTAAAGTATAGGGTACTGATTAGGAATTTTCTCAATTGTTTTAAAACTTTAAATGATGATGATGTTTAGGTCCATAGTATGTTGACCCAAACCCTATATAGCAACTGAGATAGCGAGATGTACTGAAACTTCAACTTGTGGTAGCCATAGTGTCTTAAAAGTCTAGATTTGCTCCTCACATAGTGTGACTCATACCAACCTTATGGTACTTATAGTCACACATTGTGAATATCTTCCATATTTGATATTGTCGTTTATGGGGAGATATTCCTAATGCGAATTGGGATCTGCTCCACATAGAACGCACCTCATAGACCATCCCACCATGTATTAAGAACATCTCCCAATGAATAATAACACAAAGTATGGGAGATGTTCTCAATACATAGTGGGATGGAGCAATGAGGTCTGTGTGAGATGCGCTCTGTGAGGAGCAGATCCAGACTCTCCCAATGCATGGTTACAATGTGTTGTGAGGTGAACTCTGTAAATAGCATATCTGAATTTGCAATACCTTGTGGGCAGTAGTTTCATAATCCCTCAGAAGTCAAAAAGCATCGAGTCCTGACCATATTATTTTCTATAAATTTTTTAACTTTGAAATGTTGGAATATCAAGATTAGTTGAGACAACTGTTGTTGGGATATCAAGATTAGTTATGCCACCTATTTTTTCTTTCCATGTGTACAAGATTGGTATAACAGATGTGAATCAATGGCTATATAAACCATCTATATTATCCCAAGTTAGTAACATAACAAATTCATTTTTTTCCTGCATCTAATACTTGTCTTCATGGTATCAGAGCGATAACTTCTCTGCCCACTACGTGCTTTGCTCCAAAATTTTGCACTGGAGTTGTTCTGCGTTGGAGCTAATCTGTTTGTTGCCCTCCTCCGGGAATACTTGCGCCGGTTTTCTTAGCTTTCTACTCCAAATTTTTGCACTGGAGCTGCTCTACATCGAAGATTGCTCTATTTTCTACCCTCCTCTGAGGATCTTGTCGTGATGCTTTTCTTGGTCTCCTCTAAGATCTTCACCGAAACAGTTCTGTACCAGAGCTGCTTTGCTCCTCTTTCTTGTGTTGCCTGTTTTTCCTTGTCTTCACCGAAAACAAGTTCTCTGTTTCCCTATCATCACAAGTTCATAATGGAGATCACGATGAATTCCCCATACTTCTCGCATCCATCTGATAGCCCAGGAGCTATCCTGGTTTCATATTCGCTCACTAGAGATAGCTTCTCGATGTAGTAGCGAGACATGACATGCTCTTAGGGCAAAGAATAAACTCATATTTGTCAATGGGTCTTTGACACGGCTAGCTTCTAACAATCTAGATTTGAATGCTTGGATCAAATGCAACTCCATGGTAGTTGCATAGATTTTCAATTCACTAAGTAAAGAAATATATGAAAGTGTGGCCTTCATCGAATTTACTGTTGATATTTGGAAGGAGCTTCAAGGACATTTTTCTAAGGGTAATATCCCTCGTTTCCACTAATTGAAGCAAGACATTGCTCTCCTTCGATAAGGTGAATCATCGGTAATTGTACACTTCACTAAACTAAAGACTCTGTAGGATGAACTCAGCTCTCTCATAGAATATTCAGTGTATCTGTGGAGCAGCCAAAGCCTTTGCAGTAGAAGGAGAAAGAGAGAAACTACATCAGTTTCTCATGGGACTCAATGATTCTTTTAATGCCATCCAATCCAGTATTCTCGGATCTAAACCACCACCTTCCCTCAACAAGGCTTGTGCACTTATCACTCAAGAAGAGAGACATCAGTCGGTGATTTTTCCTCGTGTATTGCAACCAGAAGCAACAGATCTAGTAGCATATACTTCCAAGAATGCCAATCCTCGATCAAAATTCAAATGTGACCACTACAAGCGCACTGGTCACACCAAAGACCGATGCTATGCTCTCCATGGCTATCTTGCCAACTGGAATCGCCGTCGAACTAATAAAACACAACAAGACAATTCTTCTAAGACCGACAAGTGAACATATTGTGCCTCTACCAATGACAAATATGTTGCATCTAACAATAAGACTTCTCCAATTGCAGGACTAACCATGCACCAGTATTCACAACTCATTTCCATGTTGAATCGAGAATTATTTGATTCCACTGCAAATGTCATTATCAGTAAGCACTCAACACCTCATATCGAATGGATCGTGGATAGTGATGCATCTGACCTCATGATATCCTCACCTTCTTTGTTTTATAATTCTAAACCTGTTCACACGCCCATTCTATTACTCAGTGGATCTGTCACTCATGCATCTCTTTAAGGTTCCATTGTAGTGAATTCCTACATTCTACACGATGTTCTATTCGTACCTAATTTTCATTGCAATCTCTATATGTTAGTAAAATCACACAACAACTATATTATGTGGCTACTTTCCTTGCTTCTTCTTGCACTCTTTAGGACCTGAGCTCCAACATTGTGATTGGGATGGGTGAACTTCGCCATGGTTTGTATCACTTCATCTTCCACTCCATCACACCACCATTAGCTTTTAACTTTTCTATTGCCTTCATCACTTCTAAACTTTGGCACAAGCGTTTAAGCCACGCCTCTCGAGCCGGTATGAACCTTATGCTTGGCATATCTACCTCCGGCTTAAACAAATGTTGTGATACCTGTCATAGAGCAAAACAAGCTCATATTCATTTTCCCATTAGTACTACCTTTGTAATATTCCATTTTTTAATTCACTGTGACATTTGGGGTGGTTATATATATAAAAAAAAAAAAAACTTACACTCTGGTGCACATTATTTCCTTACTATTGTAGACGATCATACACGATGTACCTGGGTTTACTTGTTAAGGAATAAATCTGAGGCTGGCACTTATCTCATGGCTTTTTGCACAATGGTTGCCCACCAATTTAATGCATCTGTCAAGCAAATACATTCAGACAATGGGTCTGAATTCTTCTCCGGGCCTATTCAACAATTTTTCGTGAATGAAGGAAATATACAGCAGACCTCATGTGTTGCTATACCTCAACAAAACGGAGTAGCGGAAAGAAAACATCACCATATATTAGAAGTGGCCCAAGCTTTGCGTTTCCAAGCTTCTTTGCCTATTTCATTATGAGGAGAGTGCCTCCTCAATACAGTTTACATAATCAATTTGCTACCGACACCTTTGCTATCTAATGTTTATCCCTATGAAATGTTATTTCACAAAAAAATGTCTTATGACCATTTGAAGGCGTTTGATTGCATATGTTATGTTCAAGTCATCCCAGGTCCCTTGGAAAAATTTGCTCCTAGAATTGAACCTTGCATATTTATGGGCTACCCACATGGCCAAAAAGATTATCGGGTTCACGGCCTTGAAACCTGACACATCTTCACAAGTTGAGACATTGTATTTTATGAAGATTAGTTCCTTTTCAAGATGGCTCACTACCTGCCAGCTCAATTCTTCCATTGTGGTACCTCTACCTCTAGATCCATCTGATGATTGTGACTACCCCAATACACATGGCCCTTCTCATGAGAACACAACCACTGGTACCATTCATCCCACCACTACTAATAATGTGGCCCAACCCACCAAAGTTATAGATTCAATTCAACCCATTACTCATGGTCACCTTCAGCGACCTTGTCGCCAAACCACCATCCTTGCTTTCCTTAATGATTACATTTACAAATTACCTCATTCAACTTCACAATCCAACCATGCTACTTTAGAGGTTGAGCTCAAGACCTATTCCCAAATTGCCCAAGATCCCCGTTGGTGGAAAACTATAGCAGATCAAATTTTTGCTCTTGAAAGAAACAACACTTGGACTGTTGTGCCCCTCCCTCCCAGCAAGCATCCCATTGGTTCAAAATGGGTATACAAAATTAAATATAAGGCAGATGGTTCCAGTGAGAACTTCAAAGTACGACTTGTTGCAAAAGGCTACACACAGGTTAAAGGCCTTAATTACCATGACACTTTTGCTCCAGTTGCAAAATTGCCTTTGTTCGTTGCTTCCTTGCCGTAGCTACCATTAAAGGTTGGGATCTTCATCAACTAGATGTCAACAATGCCTTCCTTCTTGGAGACCTTAACGAAGAGATCTACATGACAGTATCCCAAGGTTTTGAGACTATAGACTCAGCGCATGTTTGCAAGTTTCAGAAATCTTTGTATGGCCTTAAGCAAGCTTTTAGCATGTGGTTTGTTAAGTTGACACATGCCCTCACATCCTTGGGGTTCAAACAATCTTCCAATGATTATTCCCTTTTTATTGCATGTTCTGATACCTCTTTTGTTGTTGTTCTTGTGTATGTGGATGATGTCATCATCACCGGTGATGACTAGGACCGAGTCATATCTCTCAAAAGGTATATTGTTGAACAATTTGGATTAAAGGATCTTGGGCTCTTGCATTTCTTCTTAGGCCTTGAAGTCACTCGCTTTGCTTTTGGCATTTTCCTCAGTCAACACAAATATGCTCTAGACATTGTGCACACCACAAGACTTCAAGATTGCAAACCAAGTTTACTCCCATGGAACAACAAAATCACTCCGTTGATGATTTGAGCCCTCCATGCTCTGATCTAGCACAATAACGTCGTCTTGTGGGTTAGCTTATATACCTTATGACAACCCACCCAGATATTTGCTTTGTTGTTAATTTGCTTAAGCTAGTTCATGCATGCCATTCGCCAAGAGCATTTTAATGCTACTCTAAGAGTTGTTCGCTACATTAAAGGCTCCCTCTCTGCTAGCATCTTCTTCTCTGCCATGGACACAATTCAGTTGCATGGTTTCTATGACTCGGATTAGGCCAGTTGTCCTCTTACTTGTCGTTCCACTACAGGATATCTCACATTGCTCGGTGACTCGCCTCTTTCTTGGAAAACAAAGAAACAACACACGGTTTTCTGCTCATCAGCATAGGATGAATACAAAGCCATGGCTGTTGCCACCTTTGAACTCGTTTGGCTACATAGAATACTTGTTCAACTCACTATTTCTCTAGTTGAGCCTCCAACCCTCCATTGTGATAGCAAAGCTACTCTTCATATTGCAGCAAATCCAGTCTTTCATGAGCGCACAAAGCACATAGAAATTGATTGTCACTTCATTCGGGACTTGATCCAATATGGGGACTTAATCATTGCTCACATGTCAAGCATCTCTTTACGCCAGCTGTTTTTTCTTGCCACGTGTACAAGCATAGTATAACAGATGTGAACCGATAGTTATATAAACCATCTATATTATCCTAAGTTAACATAACGAATTCATTTTTTTCTTGCATCTGATACTTCTCTTCATGAAATTTCTAGATTTTTTTATGAGATCAAAATGTTTCTGTTTTCTATGAGATTAGATTTTAGTATTTTACATTGGGACAAGTTCTGTCTATTTTACAATGGAAAGTCATAACAGGATCCGAAAACGCCTTTAAAATCTCCTTTCAGAACATGCGGGTGAAGAAGGCGAGTAGATCGGGTTTAATAGGACCCGTTTATGATGGATCTGTGCAATATACTGGTGTAGAGATCAGATTCAATCCTACAAAACATGCTCACAGTGTACTCACAGCCACTTGCAACTGTACACTAGGGATCTCTCTCATACTTATGGAGAATGACTGTAACTTGTGAGGACATGTGACGGAGGATTCACTGCTGCATTAAAAGTTGGCCCGTTTAAATCTGAAGACCCGTGACGAAATTCCAATTCTGCACACTCTTTGAAAACATACGAATCCAGCCACACGTTTGGAACATCTTCTTATCGCGAGATATTCCCAATCTGCGGCTGAATGCCACGTCAACGTTAACGAGCTTTTGCTTGCAGGAGATCTGGGTCTACCGCATTTTAAATAATCCCCAGTCCTTTGTATCCTCCCGTACTCCGATATTATAACCGTTACAGTCGATGGGAAAAGATAGCAATACCCAATTCAAAAATATCGACCGTTGCTGAGAAATTTCACCCTTCCGGTCTTCCCTCTGTCCGACTTCCGACCCATACTCTGCTTCTACCTTGCACAAGTTAAGAAGAAACAAAGAATGACTACGGAAGACAATGAGAGCCCGCCAAACGCAGAAGTCCCAACAAAAGAACTCGTAGATGTCGAAAACTTGGGAAACCTAGAAAGCATCATGAGTCCCAGATTCCGAACCGTGGCGGCGATGGCCGGTTGGGACGAAGAAGCACTTCTATTGGCCACTCTAATTGTCGAAGACACGCCAGACAGAGAATCCAAAGAGAAGAAACGCGCCCATTTGCAGTTTAAGTCTCCACAAACCAGTTCGAGAAGGTAAACCCTTGCTTTTTCTTTTCCTTTTCCACCCTTTTTCTCATTTTCCCCCTTTAGATAGATCTTTAGTTGATTTTCCCAGTTTCTCAGAAAACGCAGAGCTCAGAGACGAAATCCTGCTTCAATTCCTATTGTTGTTCTTAACCTTGATGATGAGGAGACTACAGGAGAAGGTAATGTATCCCTTTTATCTTCATTTCAAAATTTTCTCTTCAATTTTTACCTTCAAATTTTTTTTTTTAATTTAACAATTGAGATTCTGTGTTCTATTTTGTATGTATGAGGTTTTGCTTGCTCACGCTTTTGGGGTCTTCTTTTCTGTGTGATTAATCTGCAGAAGATGCAGCGAAGAAGATGGAGTCAAAAGTTAAAGTGATCGAAGAGAAAAAGAGAGAAGAAGACGGAGTTGCTTTGCCTGAAAAGGCATCTGATGCTTCTTCTTCGCGTTCATCTCTCCCTTGCATGGATAGACTGAGGGAAGAGCTATCTTGTGCGGTAAGGAATTCAATCTTGGTTGTCCAGCTCTAGATTTCGACTTGGGTGGATCAAAATACATTTGGTAACCAAGTTTATTTTCCTTCACAGATCTGTCTTGAGATTTGCTTCGAACCCAGTACCACTCCTTGTGGTCACAGGTAAAAGGAAAAATCAATTCAAATAGTGCATAATTTTCTTGCTCTTTGATTGATTAATGTTCTCCTTTTAAGTATTCTTGCTCTTCTTCTTCTCGCAGCTTTTGCAAGAAATGTCTAAGATCTGCAGCTGATAAATGTGGAAAGCGATGCCCAAAATGCAGGCAATTAATTGGGTATGACTTTGCAGGAAACTCAATTAAATTTTCTTTCCGAATTTGGTTAAACGCTTATAAAAATTTTCCTTCTGAATTAGCAGAAATGGGCGATCCTGCACAGTGAACACGGTTCTTTGGAACACCATACAACTTCTGTTTCCAGCAGAAGTTGAAGCAAGAAAAGCAACAGGGGCCCTAAACAGCCGTGAAGCTGCGCGCCGGAGCCCTGGAAAGGGTAACACACGGAATCGAATTATCCCACTTTCTAGCAGAATGAGCAGAGAAATTAGTGCGTCGAGAAGAGAAGTGCCTAGTCCGGAGGAAGAGGTGGATGCTGCATTGGCTTTCACTGCGAGAAGAAGAAGAGGAGTAACTGGTCAAGAACTGGATGATGTATTGGATATTAGTGTGAGAGGACGAAGAAGAGTTCCTGGTCGAGTGGATGATGGTTCTGCATTGGCTTTTACTAGGGAGGGAAGCCCTAATCATGAGGAGGATGCTGCATTGGCTTTTAGGTTTCAGAGGGAAGAATTCATGGAGGCGTTTAGGGGAACCACCTATCACCATCATATGCAACCAAGAAGCTCTCTTTCCTCAGCCAGAGCAAACTTGAGAGCCATGGCATCCAGAGCCATGAAACTTCGCATCAGAGGCCGGTCGACTTAGTCTCTTTATCTCTAATCTTTCATCTTCTGAGGGTTTCCTTAGAAAAGCATGGTTGCTTCGTTTGTTCTACATGCTGAAGACAATTTTGAAATAATACCTTGAAAATAGCAGCTTGTTTTCTCTGCTCCAAAAAATTCTCCAGTGAAAACCTTGTTATTGGTGTTGTTTACTAGTTGTCATTTACTTATTATTGTAAATAGCTGGTTGTCTTTTTAATTTATTGCTGAATAACTTGGTATAAAAAGAGAAAGGAAACTTAGAACTCCCCTGCAAACAAATTTTATTCCAACCTGTGGGAATCTGATCTCCGAATTGGAAATTTATACTACAGAAGAACTATCATTCCTCTATATTTGTGAACTAGCTCTGACCCCCTATTTTTTTATTAGATAGAACCAAAATAATGGTGTTATTATAGATTAAACATGGAATTTATGAGATACAATGAAGACACAATTAGGGTTTTAATTTTGTCTTGTTATATTTCTAAGGGAAAGTTCCCCATTAGTACCATGTACTTTGTGTGCCTAGTGCCACTTTGGTTCATAACTTTAAAATGCGATATAATTCAGCACCCGAACTTTCAAAACTTAACAATCCAATACCTGTCATTAATCAGCAGTTAACTGTCATTAAGTGACATTTGAAAATGACACAACCCTTTGAGTGTCATTTAATTTTCTTTATCAATCATCTAAACGTTGACAAAAAATTAACAGTCCCAAATCCCTGCTTCTTCCATTCAAGACAGTTGGGGTTATGTTTGAGTGGGCATTCTGGTGACCCCAACTTTCTTGAATAGAAGAGGCAAGGATTTGGGGTTTTTTTTGAAAGTGTATTTTAAGAATTTTTAGAAAATATATCAATCAGATGATGCCACGTGTAATGGAGTGTGATAGAAAATTAAACGGCAAGGGAGGTTTTAGACAATTGTTAGAAAACTTTAAGGGTACTTTAAGACAATTGTTAGTCAATTTCCTAAACCATAAGGATACTTTAAGAAATTTGCACTAAAAATAAATATACACATGTGCAAGAAAGAAGAATAGGAGGAATATATATACATATATGTCTGTATTATTAAAAGTTACAAGAAAAAAACTTTTGCTGTTTACAATTATGTATGAGTCCCAGCAACTTCAGCTTTGAAGCATATTTTGGCTTTCTGGGTTTTTCACCTTGCAATGCTTGAAAAGGCTATGTGAAAGCCCTCCCAAGTCCCAAATGGGCACTATAAATTGTCTAAAATTCACCACGACTTTTCAACATTTCAAAACATCCAGGAAACCCCATGTTAGTAAGTTTTTATTTTCTAAAACTCACCATCCGTTAGAACACCATCAGTGTACATTGACAAAAATTGTCCACATCAACATAAATACAATTTTCATGACCAAACTGCCCCCATAATGGCAAGTCAGCCTTATTAAACATATTTTTATGACTAAAATGCCCTTCAACACCCAAATGCCTTATATATAAGATTTCTACTTGTTGATAGACGTTTTGCTCTCATTGTGCCACTTGAAAGTATTCCAATGAAGCTAACAAATGGATTTTGGATCGAATAATAACAAGGGTTTTTTTGGAATATTAAAAAATAGTTGAATATAACAAAGAGTAAAATGGTGATTCTTAATATTGGTTAGTTTATTTAACATCAAGTTACTGACATGTGGCCCTGGACGATTTGAAAAGTTATGGTGAGTTTAAAGAGAAATAGTGAAAAGTCATAGTAAGTTTTAGACAAATTCCCTAATTATCATAATTAGCATGCAAGGGTGCCAGAATCACACCACCTTTTTTAATTTTTTTTTTTCTGTAGAACTCGCTTTAATTGCTTGGAACATGGTCATAGCTAATTTTTTTTCTAACACAATTGCAATTATTACAACTCTTGTGAGCTCATAACAAGTAGTAAAAGATGATTCTGTATCCCAGCTATAAGCAATAAGTCACAACCTGCTCCAGCAACTATCGGACAGCTTGAGACACTCATCAACAAAGGTCTTCAATCTCCATGGAACACCAGTCTTGTTCTTGTAGGCTGTAGCACATGTTTCTTTATAATGTTTAAGTTTTTCTCTGATTCATGATTTGGTTTTAGAAGGATTTATAGATCTCCTCATTTTCCTCTCACATAATCAGTAATATTTTACCAAACTTTGGAAGAAAAGCTTCCTCTGTATCCATTTAAAAAGCATTAATCTAGTGACATTGTTATATGAATTATGAATTAGTGATGGTTTAGCCACAGATGGTTGGATATATTCTATGAAACATTAATAGAAGACTTTCTTCTGTTGTTAGTTAAAATTAAATTAATTGTAAAGAATTGTTAACTTGGGTTATTCAGTCATCATTTGGAGTTTAACTCAGACCCTTTTTACTTGCTTCATGGTTCTTGTATCTCACTGGTTGAACTTGATGATGAAAACATTTTTCATGCATGTTTAGGTGGGATGCTTTTATATTTCTGGTTCACGGAGATGTATAACTACCTCTAAATTGCTATGATTTTGAAAGGCTTCTGACTTCTGAGGACATCAGAGCAATTGTAAGCATGGGGTCTCATGCATTTCAATGTAGGAAGCTTCTTGTTTCTTGGCAAACTCATGGACTAAGGCATTATCATGCAAAATCTTCTAAAGTTTCCCTTTCAATTACATATAATCTCCACTCCAACTTCAAAAGATGGGATTAGCGACCTGGTGCAAGATCATTGACCCAATTGATACAATTTAGGTTCTGACCATCAACCAAGCTACACTGAGCGATCAGGCTACATGTTGTTGCAAGGCGACAATGCGGTCAAAGTGTTCAATCTTTGCTTACCTGATGAATTCAACTAAACTGGGAGTTTTAGCTGAGATCACATCAGCGCCCCATAGGCACATCTCAGCGTGCATTGGGAACATGTCCTGTGCTTGTCATCGGGAGATGTTCCCAATACACTGTTGGGATGTGCTGTGGGGTGCTGATGTGAACTCGTTTTAGCTTCATGCGATATTAAGAATGAACTCTGTTTGGATTTCTTTCAATGGATTAACACCTCTACTGTGCACCCCACCTGCACAAGGGATACTTATTGATCTTCATCATATTGTTAGGGTTTTATCCAACACTCCCAACTTCTTTACATGGCAACAAATCTAGGTTTATTTAACTTGAAGAATACCTTTTGTTTTCATATCATAATATAGGGTAAAAGATTTAAACCTCCCTTCATATTTTATTGTAAATATTGAATCCTCTCCTCTATTTAAACCTTTTGTTTGTTAGGTGATGCCATCTAACAAACACCTCCCGTCCGTCGTCAAACCATCGATATCGGTTTGAACATGATATCATGTGCTGGTAATTTTTTTAATAGAACACCAATTTTGCCCCTTATCGAAAATAGACCTGTTAATGGGCCTGCCTGGCCCAGCCTGACCCCAGACGGCCTTGTGCATAGATAGATATTAGCCCGTGGGCTTGACCTCGGGCCTAAAAGCCCAAGCCCAACTGTTTTATGGGCTGGGCTCGGGATTTGCCACAAAGCCCGGCCCAGCCTGACCAAGTGTAGCCTATTCTAAATCCTAGTCGAATAACCCTTTCTTATTCCCTCTCTTCAGTCTTCGTCTTCTTCTCTCCTCACTCACTCTCAAGAACCGGCACAAACCCAGACAGGCAGGCAGCCACCATTGTCAGTCTCAGAGGCGACAAGCGAGCTCAGGCACCGGTCGTCTCTCGGTGAGTCCTCTCTCTCTCTCTCTCTCTCTCTCTCTCGTCTCTCTTGCAATTCTCATTCTTAATTTCTAACTCACTGTTGCATATTCTCATTTTCTCAGGAACCAGCGTCACCAATGAATTGCGACGGTGAGTTCGCTCTCTCTCTCTCTCTCTCTCTCTCTCCCTCTGTGTGTGTGTTCCATCTTCTCAATGTTCTCATTCTCACCAGTGAACACTAGCGCCACCAATGAACTTAGGCAAACTCATTCTCACCAATGAACACCGGCACCACCAGTGAACTCTAGCGAACTCATTCTCACCAGTGAACACCCACGCCACCAGAACTTTGGCGGACTCGAGCGAACTCATTCTCACCGGTGAACTCAAGATGCAATCTTCAATAAAAGTGGAAAAAAAAATCATTGTTAGGTCGAGCTTCAAGCTCGGGCTCGAGCCTGAAAAAATTCAGTTAATGAGGAGTAAAAGCCTGGCCCGGTCTAGCCCATGAACATGTGTAATCGAAAACCAAACCTCAAGTGTAATCCCCATTCCTAGTGGAATGGCACTCCCCCATTTGAGGGAATGACCATTCCCTTTCCCTCCCATGAGAATGAAAATCCATTCCAGCCAATTCTGATTTTGATTTCAATTTCGCCTGAACCAAAAATGGCATTCTGTGACTAGTATTAATAAATTAACACCCATCAAAGTCCTTTATATTATATATCAAGAACAAAATGGTCCAAAAATTAGTGGTATGAATCTTAAACCTATGACTTAATACAACATTAAAACCAATTAATCAGATGGGACTTAGATTCTAATTCATACAATTAGATAATGGTTACAACCCTGTTATATATATATATTCGTATTTATATATTATATAAAATAGATATTTACTATAGTTTAAAAATAATTAATAGAAGTTCAGTTCAAATATCATATATCATATATAATTAAAAAATAATAAAAATGGAATTCTAACAATTGTGGTTTGAACATTGGCATTTGGAAAGCCAAGATCAACTTTTATCAAGACAAATCTGTGCCCACACCGTTCTAAGAGCATTTTCCACCTTTTGCATTGGAAAAATAAAACACACAAGTACGAAGATATTCTCAATGCAAGGCAGTAAAGGGTGCTCGATCCGGCTTTGCCTTGACTAGACTTGTTCATGGGCCAGGTGGCCCGACCCCCGGACGGGCTTAACCTCGGGCCAAAAAAGCCCGACCCGCAATAAATTCGAGCCGGGCTCGGGATTTGCCAAAATAGCCCCGCCTGACCTATAGATTAAAGTTAAAAAACCCTAGTCGAACCCCTTTTCTCTTTCACCTCTTTCCAGTCGAACCTCTCTTCTCTTCAGTCTTCACATCCTCCTCAGTCCTCAGTCCTCACACTCTCAGGCAGCCACACGACCGGTGAGGCAGCGAACATTCACCGTTCATTTTCTCACACTCTCTCTCTCTCTCTCTCAGACGCGAACTGATCACTGTTGAAATCGCAACTTACAAATCTCAGACACCGCGAACTCAGCTTACAGTCACCGGCGAGGCGGCGAATATAGGCACCGGGCGCGGCGATGAGTTCTCTCTCTCTCTTTCTCAGACACAAATTGATCACTATTGAAATCGTAGCTTACAGTCACCGCAAACTCAGGCTTTGGGCTTTTTATCAAGGCCGGGCTCGGGCCCAAATTGTAGACCCATTGGTCGGGCCGAGCTCAGGCTTGGGCCTAACAAATTTCCATTCATAAAGAATAAAAGCCCGACCCGAACCCGTCCCGTCCAGCCCATGAACAGGTCTAGCCGTGACCGAAGCCGAACTCGGCAAACCACAATCATAGTCATAATAAAAGCGGGTCTGGCAATCAAAACTGTTTCCTCCACGTGCAATAGTGCAAGGTGAGCAACTGAGATAAAATGCGACCCCACCCTGTATCATACGGATGGACGGAGTGTCAGCTCTGTAAATGTAATAAAACCAAGTAACCCAAGTCCCTACCACATACAATGTATTTGTCCATCCATCAATAATTCTCGTCAAAAAATCAGATAAATAAATGAAGGAATGGAAACGGGTCAATCAAATCATAAAATTCCTCCCTCCAACTCCAAGACTCCAACACTCATTTCTCTTCCCCGGTTTTAGATGTTCATTCATCCACTTTCTTTCTGTCCCAACTCCAATCTTCAACCCAAAAAAAGAAAATACATATAGTCGTTAGCTTCTCAACCACACATGACAGACTTCCCTCCTCTTCCTATGTGAGAGGTATATGACGACGATGATCTGCGACGCGTGCCCATTCGTTTAAAATGCAGTACACTGCACAATTGCTTCATGCGTAGAGTGGAGTTTCCAACATCTCATAACATTTTTGATTCGATTTAAGTTCATTCACCATCACCCAATAGGATGCTTTCTCTTCAAGTTGAAGATCTTCGTGAAAAGCTCACCACCCACTTCAGACCTTGGCAGCGTTCCTTCCAGTTCTGGATTCGAGCTGCGGATATCTATACCGGCTACAAGGTCTCTTTCTGTCTGTCTTTCTCCTCCCGCGTTCTTTCTGGGATTTCAGATTCTTTACATCTGAACTTTGTTGGGTTTTGTTAGGTTTTTCAATTGCGGGTTAATTTTGTGAAAGACATGAAGAAGCAGGAGGAGATGTGGGAAAGGCAGCATGAGCTCGCTGCTAAGAAGATATACTCAATGTGTTCTGACCTTGGTGGGTTTTTTCTCAAGGTATTGGATTTCTGTTGCTGTCAACCGGGCCTCTGCCTTAATATTTTTTTCTTGCTAGTTGGTTTTGATTTGCTGACAAAAAAGTGCGGTTGTCAAAATTGGATATTCATTTTAACTTTTAAATGAGTTGTGCTTATCCTGGTTTTAGCTTAAGAGAATATGCATTTGTTTTTCTCTCCCTGCTTCATTTTCAAAGTGGAGAGTAGTTTTTGTTTTCTGAGTTTGTGATCTTTTTTCAACGGAGTAGCTTCTTCTGATTATGGGTTTTATCCACGATTCGGCAATCATGTTTTATTCGGTAATGAAACCCTGTAAGGGGGAAAAGTAGAGGAAAAAGAGGAAAAGAAATGACGTTAAGGCCCTGTTATATTTTTCCTCATGTTATTTTGTTTTAGGTGGATGTTTATTGTTAACGTGATGGCATTTGATTCAGGTTGCTCAAATTCTGGGGAAGCCTGATTTGGCCCCTCCTGCATGGGTTAGAAGGCTTGTTACATTGTGCGATAAAGCTCCTGCAACTCCGTTTGATGTTGTCCAGCTTGTGATTGAGAAGGAGCTAGGTCGAAGTGTTAGTGAAATGTTTGAAAGATTTGATGTGGAGCCTCTCGGCTCTGCTTCAATTGCACAGGTTTAGTTCCTGGAGCTTTTTCTTCTTCAGTTTAAAATTTTTTGATTTTGTTAAAACTTAAAATGTTGAAAAATAAGTATTACATAATATTGCTTCAATTATTACCCAAGGCTCATTCTTTAGGTCATTAGGTGCAACGATATAATCCCAAAACAAGATTGATTATGGGAAGGATGCATCTTGGACCAAAAAAAGTTCCTGGAGCTTTCTCTTCTTCAGTTTAAAATTTTTTGATTTTGTTAAAACTTAAAATGTTGAAAAATAAGCATTACATAATAATGCTTCAATTATTACCCAAGGCTCATTCTTTAGGTCATTAGGTGCAACGATATAATCCCAAAACAAGATTGATTATGGGAATGATGCATCTTGGACCAAAAAAAGTTCAGTTGCCTTACACCTGGCTTGGAATTTGGAAAAGATGATAAAATGTAGGAGAGGTGAAATTTGAAAACGCACCCATTACTTGGGAGAATACCATATGGAGGGAGAATCCAGGACTCTCTTTCTGGTTTTTATTTTCCTTCTCATTCTTCCTTTTGTGCTGGACAGGGGTATCTAGAACTTCTGTCCAAGATTATCTATGAAGCATATTTTAAAACTATGCTTTGTATGAATATGGTAAACTTGTGACTTTTCTGTCACCTTGATGTTGGCTTATTGTCATCAACCTTACAGGCTTACAATAATAACACCTCTTTTTTTGTGTGATTTTTGATAAGTTGAAGGTCCAACCGTGGTTAATATGTACAGGCATTCATTACCATGGAAACATGTATAGGTGAAAATATTCTATTTTACCACGGATCTTCAATGCCTGAAGTTACATTTTCTATGTGTGGTTCTAACCTATTAGATCCCAAGCACCAATTTAATAAGGGGCCTTTTGAATTGGCTAATAGATTTTGGCCTTTTCAGTTGTCCATTTCATCCTCATGCCTCATCATCTATTGTCTCTTTTACATGTCTTGGTTTTCTTGAACTATTGTAAATGTGCAAGGAGTGAGAATAACTCTTTTTTTTGGTGGAAACAGAATAACTCTTTAGGTTGTTGTTAATCTGTTAGCCTAGAACTTACAACATAGAATTACAGCGACATGGTGAAACATGTGGACCCAATTTTCCAACTCAGTTGACAAAATGTGAGTGGCTTAATTCTCTTGTTTAAGTGGCCTCCACTATTTCATACATGGAAAGGTGTTTTGACTACATATGTACTATTTATCAAATAGAAGGCTTTTTAGAGTGGTCATATTTTCAGTTATCCAGTTACATATTTCCCTTCACAACACTACTCCTTGCATCATGACAAAGGCTAGTGGGCTGAATTACTATGTGAAAAGAGGCTGGTATGGCCAAACCCAGCCACCTATGTGCAAGGGTTTGGACATATCCAACACCATCAGCTGATAAAAGTATCTTGTGAAACTCTGACCTGAGTTGCCAGGGCCCTATGAAGCAATTGTCTAAGCTCCTAAAGGTCTGTGAAGCATAACTTTATGATTGCTCTAATAAGCGAAGCAAAAGCACAAGGCAGTGACATGTGGCAAGACAGCATGTAAGGACTCAGGAAAGGCACTCCGTTTGATAAAAGTTTCCTCATGGCCCTCCTGTAACTACCTGTGCTAAGCTGGCATAACTAATTAAGACACTTTTTTGACAAGAGATTATTCTTGTATTAGGCATGGTTTGCGCGACATGTGTCTATAAAAGGGTGGTACACCCAATCAAGCAACAGCATAACATCCCCTCAGATCAGGCAACTCTATGTCCTTCAATACATGGCTCTTTGGAACACACTTCCTTTGGGAAGATTCCATCATTCTCCTAGGAAACCCTAATCTCTGTACTCTATATCTCCTTTGCAACTTCTCTGTAAAACTCATCATCCTCTTTTTACTCCCTTCAGGTTGCAGAGATTCATAATCTTCATTAACCAAACCTCACAATCTCTTTCTTCAGTGGTATCTCCATCTCAGAACCTCCACAGACCACTGACAAACCACCACCTTTACACTATGGAGTTGCAATAAGGTTGGTTTACCTAAATCTTGTGTTTTACTTGATTGTAATGATACTCATACATAAGTTAGCTAAATATTAATTGTATAGGTGATACTGAAGAACATCAAATAACAATAATATTTAAGGTATGCAATTTATTGCTGAGCTTGGAATATCACAGTTTACTATTGGTTTCTTGCTCAAAGAAGAGGTAGATACGTAAAATTCTACTGTATTCCATATGAAGATAAATATGTCATGGACAAGTAACATAACTATGGTTAGGGGCAGAAACTTGATGGTGTCAAGAATTTATAGGAGAAAAGGTTGAGAATCTATGCATATATTGTAGGCCCCCCAGAAGCAGCCCTGCCACTGAAGTTAAATATTTATCTTCATGTGCAAATGATAATATTAAATAGGAGATGTAGATTCCAGAACAAAAGATTGGAATTTTGTAATACTATGTCATGAAGAAATTGCTGTAATGTGCTGTTTCCTTCAGTGAAAATCAGTTAAACATGTAGATGGAAGGAAGTGATGATATTTGATAGTACATTGTGGGACCAAACTGTCATATTACAAGCACCCTGCCTTTTTTGTTTGTGGTGGTGGGGATAGGGGAATTTCATTATTGTGATTATCTTGGCAAAGTGAACCCATGGTTCTTATGGATAATAATAAATCTTTTGTGTTTGGCCTAGGTTCATCGTGCAAGATTGAAAGGTGCCAAGAGTGATGTTGCTGTAAAGGTATGTGATATTAGAAATTATTTAATATTTTCAATTTGGATGCTCTTATGGATTTTTAACTCATATGTGGATTTATAGGTGCAACATCCTGGAGTTCGGGATTTGATGATGACAGATATTCAAAACTTGCAAGCTTTTGCTCTATATTTGCAAATGACAGATATCAAATTTGATCTTTTCTCTGTAACCAAGGAGATGGAGAAACAGGTGCATACTATTTCTATTTTGGTACATTCAATCCCATTTCTGTATGTGCCAGTGCAGGAGATGGCCATCTCATTAAATTGTTGGTCAGTAGGTATTCCAGGGGTACAATATGAGAGGCTAGAGTTCATTGAGATGATGAGACATTGGTCAATCCTATATTCACTTAGGTGGTCATATTTTGTCAAATTTATTTTGAGTACGGCTTTTGTATTAGTAGAAATAACTAATTGCAGATTTAGTTGAGTTTCTTGTGAAAGGAAAGAGGGGGAAGATGAAGATTTCAGCAGTAGAGAAGAAAGGAGAAGAAGAAAAGAGGGGGAAGATGAAATAACTAATTGCAGATTCTGAATTAACCCTAGCCGCCTACCTCTCATTATATTTATACTTAACTTAAAGAATGAGATTACAAGGATGCCCTTAGTAGGGCGGCTACTAATATAGCTGAACAGTCACAACTTAAAAAAAAACATAAACTAATGGGCCTAAAGCCCGACAACTTCCTAACTAAACAAAAAACAACTCAAACCAACTCAACACTCTCCCTCAAGTTGGGAGTAAATGTCACACATTCCCAACTTGCGTAGATCATGCTCCAGCTTGTTCTTTGCAACACCTTTTGTGAGAACATCAGCAAGCTGCAGATAGCAATGTATGGAAGACAAACTTCTCCAGAAGTTGCCATTTCTTTGATAAAATGTCTATCCACTTCAATGTGCTTAGTTCGGTCATGCTGGACTAGGTTACGGGCAATGTTAATTGCTGCCTGGTTATCACAGTATAGCATCATAGGTTCTTTTGCATATACGCCAATTTCTTCTAACAGGGAACGGATCCAGAGAAGTTCTGAAACTCCATGTGCCATAGCCCATATTCGGCTTCAACACTTGATCTTGCCACCACTGTTTGTTTCTTACTCTTCCATGAGACAAGGTTACCCCCAACAAGAGTGCACACTCTTGAAGTTGATCTCCTGTCATCAAGGCATCCTACCCAATCTGCATCTGTATAGGCCTCTAGTTTCAACTGTCTATGATCAGTAAACAATATGCCTCTGCTCGGGTGTCCCTTCAGATAAGCAAGAATCCTGTCAACGGCCTCCCAATGCTAGACTCGTGGAACATGCATGTATTGACTTACTACACTTACTGCATAGGAAATGTCTGGTCTTGTCATACACAAGTATAACAGTCGATCCACAAATCTCTGATATCTCCCAATATCCTTTACTGGTTCACCTTCTGATGCATTGATTTTATGGTTCTGATCAATAGGGGTGTTGATTGCCTTTGTTCCAAGCTTCCCTGTCTCTTGAAGGAGATCCAAGACATACTTCATTTGAGAGAAAAATTCCATGTTTTGATCTTGCAACTTCAATGCCTAAGAAGTATCTCAATTCTCCAAGATCCTTAATTTCAAATTCTTTATGTAGGTTCCTTTTCAGGCCATCAATCTCACTCAGATCATTTCCGGTGACAACAGTATCATCCACATAAACAATTAGGACTGACACCAAAGATTCCCTTCGCTTCACAAACAAGGTGTGATCGGATTGAGTCTGAGTGTAGCCAAAAGCAATCAAGGCCTTTCTGAATCTGTCAAACCATGCTCTAGGAGATTGTTTCAAGCCATAAAGTGACTTCTTAAGCCTACATACCTTTCCCTTTTCAGTATCATTGTAAAATCTAGCAGGAAGATCCATATACACTTCTTGCAGATCCCCATTTAGGAAAGCATTCTTCACATTAAGTTGAAACAAGGGCCAAGAGTATGAGGCAGCAAGAGAAAGAAGTATCCGAACAGAGGTCATCTTTGTAACTGGTGCAAAGGCCTCTAAGTAATCAATGCCATAGGTCTGTGTGTACCCTTTTGCAACAAGTCTTGCCTTGTACCTTTCTATACTTCCATCTGCCTTATATTTTACCGTGTAAACCCATCTGCATCCAACTGTTTCCTTGCCTTTTGGTAGATTCACAATGTCCCATGTCTGATTCTTAATCAAAGCTGCCATCTCTTCCTGCATAGCTGTCTTCCACTCAGGTTTGGAGAGAGCCTCACTAACACTCTTAGGTATAGACACTGAATCAAGAGAGGAAAGAAAAGCATGGTAGGAAGGAGAAATTCCACTGTAGGATAAGTACTGTGAAATACAATGAGCAGTACACTTTCTCTTCCCTTTTCCGAGAGCAATAGGGAGATCAAGGTTATCTGTAACAGTGTTAGTAGTATCAATGGGAACTAAAACAGTAGCGGGACCAAGAGGAATACCTGAATTCATGTCAACCGAATCTGGAGTCTCCAAGGAATCGTCAGGAAGTGATATGAGTTCTGCTGTAGTGGGATCAACCTCCTTGTGAAGTCTCTGTCGTAAGTAATGCTAAGAAGCAGAACGCAAAGGAGGTGGCAAGGTAGGTGACACAGGGTGGTGGTCAAGCACAGGAGTAGACACAGGGACTGGAACTGGGAGAGGAATAGACTGCTGACTCACTTCCCCAAAACACTCCCCCTGAGAAGGATTCTTTGAGAAGAAGTACGTGGATTCTAAAAAGGTGACATCCATGGTAACATACCGGCTCCCAGAGACTTGATCATAGCAGTAGTACCCTTTCTGATTCTTTGCATATCCAAGGAGGACACTCTTCTTTGCCTTGGGATCAAGTTTCGAGTGGTGAGGACCAAGGATATGTGCAAAGCAGACACACCCAAACACCCTGAGAGGAATATGAAACATCTCTCCCTGAGGAAAAAGGAGACTGAATGGGGTGCTGAATCCTAGTATACGAGAGGGCACCCTGTTAATCAGATATACTGCTGTGAGAACTGCATCACCCCAAAACCGAACTGGAACTGTAGATGTGATCATCATTCTCCTTGTAATTTCAACAATGTGTCTGTTCTTCCTTTCTGCAATACCATTCTACTGTGGACTGTAGGGACAACTGCTCTGATGGACAACACCATATTCTAACAGATATGAGGCAAGGTGTCTTTCAAAATATTCCCTGGCATTGTCGGATCTGAACACCTTTATTCTTGTTCCAAACTGTATTAGAACCATATGATGAAATTGCCTCACCAAGGATGGTACTTCATCGCGGGATCTCATCAGGTAAATCCAAGAGTATCGTGAGAAATCATCCACAAATAAGAGAAAATAGCGATARCCTCCCATAGAAGGAACATGGTAAGGGCCCCACACATCCGAATGAATAATATCAAAAGAAGAACATCTTTTATTACTAGGTTTAAATGAATGTCTACAATGCTTTCCAAGTTGACAACATTCACATTCCAGACTTGACAAATTAACGGACTCAAAAAGTTTTGGAAACAAAAGACTCAAAGAAGAAAAAAGTAAATGGCCCAAACGATTATGCCAAAGCATAATTTGACCCACAGACCTTGACTCACTATTCCTGCTGACATGATGACTCTGATGAGGAGGAAGTACATCCAGGAGGTAGATTCCATTCACTTCACGACCACTCCCAGTCGTCCTCTTTGAATCCAGATCCTGCAAAATACAATGATCAGGAGAAAAAATTACTGAGCAGTTCAGGTTTTTAGTCAAACTACTAACAAATAACAAATTAGTGCTCRATCTRGGAACATGAAGGACARAGGGTAGAGAAATAGAATCACTAATCTTGACAGATCCCTTCCCAGCAATAGGAACATGGGATCCATCAGCTGTGGAAACCCTATCTCTACAAGAACAAAGCTGGTAAGTTGAAAAAATAGTAGAGCTCTAGGTCATGTGCTCTGAGGCTCCAGAATCTATAATCCAAGGAGGTCCCTCCTTACCTGAAGTTGAAACATAATTTGCAATGACGTGTGAACTACCTGTGTGAGCAAAGGAAGTAGAGTGGACTCCACCAGTGCCACTTGTACCTTGCTGTCCGCTTGCGGCTGAACTGGAACTGGCTGTATCTCGCTGGTTCAAAAGTAGCCCATACCTCTCAAGTTCGGCCCTTGCTGCAGCAGCTGTAGTAGGAGAGGCCGAAATGTCACTAGTAACTGCCATGTGTTCATTTCCCTTCTTATTTTCCAATCTAGTCGGCACAAGATGTGGGTGAAACTTCCAGCAAGTATCTCTTGTGTGTTAAGGCTTCTTATAGTAGTCACAGATCAAATCTCTTTTATCTTCCTTCTTGATTTCACTGCCACCCCGATCTCCACTTTGTTTAGGTTTCACAACACTTACCATGGCARAYTGATCAGRAAWAAGRTTTTTCATCATCACATCTCTCCTGCACTCCTCCCCTGACACAAAGGCATATGCCTGGGATAGAGTAACACTGTCCCTGGAAAGAAGGTGCTGTCGTGCAATATCATACTCAGGATTAAGGCCAGTAAGAAATTCAAACACCATATACTTCTCTAGATGTTTTTGATAGGTAGTTGCATCCTTAGTGGTTTCCCAAGCAAATGTCTCTAAATGGTCAATCTCCTGCCACAGGGTTTTAAGGGCTGAAAAATAGGCTGCAACAGATCTATCTCCTTGCCTTGTAGAAATAATCTGATTTCTCAACT